CAGGCTGTGCCAGGACAGCCAGGCCGGTGCCCGGGTGGGACACCAACTTGGTAAGTTGTTGCCTGGGTGTCGCCTATTTGTCATGAGGTGCCACGTGTCACAATTTCACTAGAGGGCCAAATCTGCCCTCATCAGTAGTGTTTCTGTTTGAGACAACTAGGGTTAATAATCCTAAACTCGAGTATGGAATTCCTGAATTGCTATAATTCTATTGCATTTTATTTGCACTTTCATTCACTTTGTGACAAGTATCCCCAAAAGGGCTATTGTGGCAACTGGCGAGCCTTGCCGTCTTCAACGGTTGAGGGAGGAAAAGAGAAGAGAGAGGGGGTGTGAGGGTTGCAGCGGTGAGCCTTGCCGTCTCCCACAGTTGAGGGAGGAGAAGAGAAGAGAGAGGGGATGTAAGGGTTACAACGGAGAGAGGGGATGCAAGGGCTTGTTCACGGTGGTGAGATCGGCACTGTGTGTTGGTGAGAGTGAAGGGGTGGGAATAGAAGGGGAAGAGACGGAAATCCTGATAGAGGGAGGGAGATAGTAAGTGGGAATATTATATATGAAATTGGATTGGACGCTTAAGGGCATTTCGGTCAAGAAAATATTTAATAAGCTGGCTCATCATTCAATGGCAGTTTGGTCATGAAACTTACATTTAGGTTGAAATAGACAACTTGGGCCAATGAAATTTAATGGTGTTTTTAAGGAATGGTGAGTTTTAGAAAATAAAATCTTGTGAATTTTAAATGTTTTGAAAAATTATGGTGAATTTAAAATAATTCATTAAAAAGTGATGATGGATTATAGACAACTCTCCAAAATGTTCTATTCCCATCATATCCCAACAAGTCAAAAGGCCACTTGCGAGTAGAATACTCTTCAGATTAGTGGTGGTGTGGTCTCAGAGAAACCGCTTACTTCGAGAGAAGAATAGTTATCAATCTTCTGACATCATAAGAGTGTTTCATATGACCCAAAATAAAAAATAAAAATAATAAAGCTTGTGATTAAGAGAAAATAAGGCCAAATCACACAATACTATCGCTCTCAAGTCTCAACCATATATGCTAGTTGGGGCGGTCAATAGGTCAGGTACCACAGTGAGAACCGGGTCTCAGATGGGGCCCACAGTGAGCACTGGTGTTTTCAATTGTGATAGGTAATTCAGCTGGGTGTGTATAATTTTGTCTCCAGCTCATCCGGACTGAAACATGATAGCCAATCAGATGCTACTTATTAAATTCATGAGTGGATTTTAATTGATCAAAGCTCTTCTCATGTCTTTCTCGCATTATAGATTTTCCATTAAATTATATGTTAAAAGTACAATTGTCAATTATATTCAAATCTTAACGGGTCAGACCCGACCCATATACCACTTGGGCATTTTCCTAATTCCTCTCCCCGAGTTATTGGATACTTTTATTTGGGTAGAAAAAGTTCTTGGATCTAGAGCTCAGTTTTTTTTATTTATTTTTTTATATGCGAATAAAGTAGGCCCCTAAGGCACTAATGCTTAATTTCAAAGATTGGAGTTAACAATGAAGTTGATTGCGGTAACTGGCCTAGCCCACTGCTTTTTTTGTGATGAGACCCTGCCCTCGCCAATATCTTAAATTCCAGGCCCAAATTTCAAGCCCATGCTTTCTGTTGAGTATTGAGGAAGATATCAATTATCCCGGATAACGTCGCCCACTCTGGCTCAGGATAATGGGGCCCATGAAGCCGGCCCACCACCAAGTTGCACGGTGGACACTGGACAGACATAAGATAAAATGAATTGAAAGCGAAAAAAAGATGTTAGAATAAGTAGAGACAAGCGTCTGATAACTATTGGGTCCATGGAGCTTAAGTGGTTGGGCATTACATGCTGCTTTGATAGTTGATAATGACACCCAATTAGAAACGGGTCCTACAGGTTCCATTAATAATTCGGTGCCAGTGACCCGACCCAAATTCTTCCTTCCTATCTCGTGGTCCGTATTAATTTCCTTTCTGTTTTTTATTTTTCAAACTTCAAAGTCTTCGTACCAACTAATGAGAAAATCCCCAAAAAGGACAGAATACCACTATACCAAGCTCTTTTATTGCCCAAAGCGTCCCTGGTATATTGTCCTTTTCTCACTTAAATTGACGAAAATACCCATAGCGGTAAAACTCGAGTTCCTTTCGCTTTTTCCGCGTAACAAATTTTTTCCCTTTCTTAATCTTCGCGGGATTTTTTTTTTTTTTTTTTTTATTTTATTTATCTCCATTTCCGCTTCCATTCGACTTTACATATACTCTCCCTACTCCCCACTTCCTCAGTTGAACTGTCTTTCTCTCTCCATCTCTATCTCGAGATATCTTTCAATTTCGTACAGCAGAGGATTGGATCAGATCCTTTCTTCCTTCCTCTACCTCTCTCTCTCTGTTGGTTTCTGATCTCTTGCTTCGAGTTTTTATCTCTTGCTACCTATCCGAAACTTTTCTGCTATGAAAAGGAATATTCCGTGACTATATCCTCAAGATCGCTTTGGGAAGTCAGGTTGCTTGGTGAAGTTAGATTCTCTATAAAGGTGCTCGGTCAGGAATTCTTTCTGTAAATTCAGTTCACTTTGGGGGTGAGGCTTACTCCGATCTTTTCTTTAGTTAATCTGTTTGGACTGTTGAAGTGATTCCAGTTAGTTGACGTTTTTGTATCTTGCAGAGATCAGGAAAATGGCTCAGATTTTGCTTCATGGGTCGCTTCACGTCACGATCTACGAGGTGGATAAGCTATCTTCCCGACATGGTGGTTTTTTCCATCAGGTATTTGCTTCAACTTCAACTTGCAGGTCTAAAAGTCGGGATGAGATCGAGTGGTTTTTGAGTTTTTCTTAAATGTATTTTCGTGCTTCATATTTTTCTCTGTTTTTAAAGGACTTCGCATGCTCTCTGATTATTCTTTGTTTTCTCTCTAATCTCTTTGAATTCTGTTAAACTTCTAAGTGTTTTTGTACGATCTGCAGCGGAAACATATGATTCTTTTTCTAGTTATGCATTAATGTCACTGGATTTTGTGATGAGATCATATAAAGGGGAGCTATAATTCAGTTTGTTAGGATTATCTGCTAGATAATTCTTTTATATAGTTCTTCTGTTCAAATATCTAAATCAATTTTTTTTTTCCGTTGTGTTGTGATAAATCTTAGTTTTTCAGAAGCTGTGCTATTTTTTTTTTTTAATTATACCATGTGACTGCATTTTGGTGCTTTAAGTTTTAATTATACCATCTTCTGTTTTGAGTTGCTTTAAGTTTTAATTCAATTTGAAAGATGGGGAAAGTCAAGGGATAACCACAAAATGCTACTTTTGTGGTGTGGAAGCTCTGATTCTTCTTACTTCTTTACTTTCACGGAAATGCAATTGTTCTGATCATGCCCTCTAGAAAAAAGGATCTGGTTCTACCAGTAATTGAAAGGATTCTTTTCTTMAAATGATAAAAATATGAGAAAATATTATAAATCACATTCCTTTTGTTCCTATCATGTCCTTGTTGGGACCGGGGTCTGTGCACCAGCGTTTCCAGACTTGGACCCGATGGAAACTGGCAGCCAAAACAACTTTTGGGATGCCCAGTTCTTAAAATATTGACCTGGTCGAGATGGAAACTGACAGCCAAAACAATTTTTGGGATGCCCAGTTCTTAAATTTTGACCTGGTCAAGCTCACCCCAAATACATGTGTTAATAGGTATTATAATAGGTAACATTTACTGTTTTAACCATAATTTTGATGTAAAATAGTTTTGAAAGATAATCTGGAAGCATTTTTAAAATTTTTTCACATATTTACTTGAGTAAATTGAGCAGTTGAATTGGAGTATCGAACCATTTGAATGGGGGACCCAGTGACCAAAATGGTTTTACATCCTGTCCGAGTCTGAACAAGATTGCTGTTGTGTCAGTGAAGTTGCAATAGATAATTGAAAGACATTTTAGGGAGGCTTGCTATGGAGGTCTTACAAGGCACGCACACACAGACATAGCAAACCAATCGCAGTTATTTTGGCCGTTTTCTGAGTTAATTAAATTCCCGGTCATCATTGTTTATACTCTTGTAAATCTGCAAAAGCATACAACATTTGCATATAATTGAGTTCACTAAATTCTCACAATTACAATGATGGATCTTGTGGAAAACTTTTACGACAATACAGAATGGAGGATACTTGTAAAGAGCATAATAACTTATCTAGTTGGTCTCTCTTTATAAATTCCCTAGTTATTTTCCTGGATGCTTTGAAGGTTTCATGCTTCACTGTTCTGGATACATCAGTTTATATAAACTTTGAATGATCACCTTGTAATTTTATGCCTAAACATCATATTAAGAAGGATAAAAAAGTAGATGGTTGATGTTCCGGAATGTTTTTAAGGTTTTGAAAGTTCATTCTTCTTTATTTGAGTTCTTGAAATCTCTATTGTGACCTACTTAATGAGTTTAAAGTGAGGAAGGGCACTATAATTTAATTAGGCGAAAGTATTCAGTGCCTGTTTGGGATGGCTTTCATAATGTGACTCTTAGATTTTTGAGGTGGGGTCCACCTGGAAAGTTTGCAATGTAAGGTAAATAAAATCTGGAGAGACAAATTCAGTCATATCACAGCCATTTATGCAGCTCTCTGTACAAGCTTCTTCTAGTAGCTTCTCCAAAGCAGCTACATACAAAGCTAAGCCCTCCCAAATGAGCCCTCAAGCTTCCCCTATTCTTTCTGGAATGATCTGGAGCTTCCCCTGCTTTTTAGAAATAGACTTAAACATCCTTCATGACATATGTTCGCTTAACACAAACTTCATTAGGTATCTATTACATGAATTTACTGGATTCCATCTCGCATGCTTCTAAAAATTTTTCATATATACGATAATTCCTTGCTATTGCAAATTTAAAATGCCATTGGGACCAAATGCAAATATAGATTTTATTGTTTCACATTTGGTCACATTGGTGAATTCAATATTGGCAGACTCAGACTGGATAGACAACCATTTTGGTGACTGTGCCATGGATCAGACTGTTTGACCATATGGGTTCAACTGCTTGACTCATTCGAAATTTCAAATAAAAGGTTTGAAAAATAAAAATTTTAAAAATGAATATGGTTCTAGACTATCTTTTAAAGCTATTTTACACCAAAATAAGCTTACAACAATAGGCATTAGAGGGTATAACATATATTAGCACATGTGGATGAGTTTAGCTTGACTGAGTCAACATTTCCAAGAACTAAGCAAACAAAAAACTATTTCTCTGCTAGTTTCCAGTTCTAACAGCTCTACCATCCAGTCTGATCCATGTTGAATAATTAAGATTTCTTTTGGTGAATTGGCTACAGTGTAATAAGGTGTATTGATATTTGGTATGCAAAGGCAATTTTGAAACTTAAATTGCATAGAAGCATCTTTTGTCATCAAGTGAGCAGGGTTTTCTTGTGATTATACATTTTCAGTTGTATTTTGACAGATTATGTGATATGAGATGTTTAAACATAGAAGCATCTTTTGAAAAATAAACATATTTAAACATATTTATCAAAAAAAACATATTTATGAAAAATAAGGAAAATTTCAGTCTATTTCAAAAAGTATATGGAAAGTTATAGTAACTTTCCCATTTAATTATTTATACAAGGATAGATTTTGTTCCCTTGACTTTATTTTGAAAGGTTTACCAAAATCAATCATTTTCTTTGTTTTCTCCCCCATATGTGTGTGCATTTATGAGAGAGAGAGAGAGAGAGAGATCATTTAACTCTTTGTTTTCTTCTTGTTTCTTTTTTACCCTTCTTGCCTTTTGTTTTTCTTATTGGAAAATTTGGAGACTGTTGGTACACAAAAGATAACAACAAGAAGATTGTTTTCCCAGGTCAAGAGAATATGCTTGTGCCGCCCTAAGGTTTCATTTTGTTAAATAACAACCTCAATTTCTTTTTATTAAATTGTTAGCATCCTTTATTTCTCATTCATGAATTTTTCGTCCAGATTGTTGAAAACATTGGCATTGGCAAAGGGACTCCCCAACTATATGCAACAGTTGATCTAGAAAAAGCTAGAGTTGGCCGGACCAGAATGCTGAAAGAAAATGCCAATCCTCAGTGGAATGAGTCCTTTCATATTTACTGTGCACATATGGCTTCTAATGTAATCTTCACTGTAAAAGATGATAATCCTATTGGTGCAACCTTAATTGGAAGAGCTTATATACCTGTTGAAGAAATCCTAAATGGGGAGGAAGTAGATAGATGGGTTGAAATCTTAGATGAAGACCGCAATCCTATACATGGGCATTCTAAGATTCATGTGAGGCTACAATTTTTTGATGTTACTCATGACCGTAATTGGTCTATGGGAATCAAGAGTTCCAGATTCCCTGGGGTCCCTTACACGTTCTTCACACAGAGACAAGGATGCAAAGTTACACTCTACCAAGATGCCCATGTCCCAGACGGATTTATCCCAAAAATCCCTCTTTCTGGAGACAAGTTTTATGAGCCGCATAGATGCTGGGAGGATATCTTTGATGCTATCACTAATGCGAAGCACTTGATTTACATAACTGGGTGGTCAGTGTATACTGAGATCAGTTTGATAAGGGACACAAGGAGACCCAAGCCTGGGGGAGACATTACCCTTGGAGAGCTGCTCAAGAGGAAAGCCAGTGAAGGTGTCAGAGTTCTAATGCTTGTTTGGGATGACAGAACCTCTGTGGGTTTACTGAAGAAGGATGGCTTGATGGCTACTCATGATGAAGAAACTGCCAATTACTTCCACAACACTGATGTCCACTGTGTCTTGTGCCCTCGTAATCCTGATGATGGAGGGAGCATTGTTCAGGACTTACAGATCTCTACCATGTTCACCCATCATCAGAAGATTGTTGTGGTGGATGGTGAGATGCCCACTGGTGCATCAGAGCAGAGGAGGATTGTGAGTTTTGTTGGAGGTATTGATCTCTGTGATGGGAGGTATGACACAGCATTCCATTCCCTTTTTAGGACCTTGGACACAGCCCACCATGATGATTTCCATCAACCCAACTTTACCGGTGCTTCAATCGGTAAGGGTGGCCCAAGGGAGCCATGGCATGATATACATTGCAGGCTAGAAGGGCCTGTTGCTTGGGATGTATTGTACAATTTTGAGCAAAGGTGGAGGAAACAAGGAGGAAAGGATGTGCTTGTTCAGCTAAGAGAACTTGATGACATTTTTATTCCCCCGTCCCCAGTAATGTTCCCAGACGACCGTGAAATATGGAATGTCCAGTTATTTAGATCAATTGATGGCGGTGCAGCATTTGGCTTTCCTGACAATCCTGAGGAAGCTGCCAGAGCAGGGCTTGTCAGTGGGAAGGACAACATCATTGACCGCAGCATTCAGGATGCTTATATAAATGCAATTCGACGGGCAAAGAATTTCATTTACATTGAAAACCAGTATTTCCTTGGAAGCTCTTTCTGCTGGAAACCGGAGGACATCAAGGTTGAGGATATTGGTGCCTTGCATCTTGTCCCAAAGGAACTCTCACTGAAGATTGTTAGCAAAATTGAAGCAGGGGAAAGGTTTACCGTTTATATTGTGGTCCCAATGTGGCCAGAGGGGATCCCAGAGAGTGCTTCAGTTCAGGCAATATTGGATTGGCAGAGGAGGACAATGGAGATGATGTATGCTGATGTCATTCAAKCCCTACATGCTAAGGGGATTGAAGCAGACCCCAGAGATTATTTGACATTTTTCTGCCTTGGGAATCGGGAAGTGAAGAAGAGTGGAGAGTATCAACCTTCTGAGGAGCCAGAAGCTGATACAGATTATAGCAGAGCTCAGCAGGCCCGGCGTTTCATGATATACGTCCATACCAAGATGATGATTGGTAAGTGTTTCTTTGCTTTCATAATGGAGAAGTACAATGCATATTAAGCAGAAGAGTTAATATGTTGGTCTGGCCAGACAAACCATAAATATCACTGGATCAACTAACTGCTCTGGACCCAAATCCATTATAACATGAGTTTGTATTGTTGGTTAAATGGGTACCCATCAATATCCTTAATTATTGGGAATGGAAGGGATGGACATGAAAAGCTAGTTAAATTTAAATGAAAATATTTGTTTACCTGGCAAGAGTTTCCATCACTCGGAGGGTGGGCCTTGGTGCAACAGTTGGGTTGCTCCATTGCAACCTGGGTGACCAGGGTTCAAATCTTGGAAACAGCCTCTTTGTGTCTGCAGGGGTAAGGCTGCCTACATTGACCCCTCCCCGGACCCCTCATTGGTGGTAGCCTTGTGCACCGGGCTGCCCTTTGGTTTCCATGGCTCAGAAGGACATCTTGACAGTTCATAGACTTTTATATGTAGTTTGGGTTCTGAACTGATGGCCAGCAACCTTTGCTATTAAAAGCATGCATAGACACACTGATCATGTCCCATTTGTATAAACATGGGAATCAATTGTTTGCATGATACTATGTTAGTAATTTGGTAACTTAAAACGATGCAAGTGGGTTCTGGGCCTCTACAAAACTACAACTTCAGATGAGCGGTTGCCTAATTGTTGCTTTAAATTGTAGTTGGAAACCTAGGTGCCTTCTCCTGAAATTTGTTTTCAAAACTTAGCTTTAAGGGCCCATTGGGATATCGGTTCCCATTGACCAAGATATCCATGTCCTTTTTTCAGATTTATGTGGGATCTACGGAAAATTTATTTTCCCTGGGTATCACTTACCCGGGTAAGCTATACCCATATCCTAAATGGGTAAAGTTATTAACACTTGGAGACAAAATTGCTCCTTTTAATAATGGCTTTTTATGGCTAAAACAGTCATTGTCTTATTTACCTGGAAAATAAAAGAACATGGATAAGTGCATTTACCCGGGTAAGTATTTCCCAGGAAAGACTTACCAGGGTAAGTGCATTTACCTGGGCAAGTAACTTTCTGAAAAGCGAATGGGGCCTAAAACCAATGTTCAATCCATGATTCACCAATCTGATTGAGTTAAATTTCAGTTAGATGTGTTGAAGTCTTCAAATCAGCCCCAAAAAATTTCTTCTAACTGCCAATTCAGGCAGTTCTGTGAGGTTCCAAATTACTTCAGCATGAATATGAATTCCGAGTTGATTGATCTCCCCCTTTTCTGCAGTTGATGATGAATACATTATCATTGGATCTGCCAACATCAACCAGAGGTCAATGGACGGTGCCAGAGATTCTGAGATTGCCATGGGAGCTTTCCAACCATATCATCTAGCAACGAGGCAACCAGCCAGGGGTCAGATCCATGGCTTCCGAATGGCATTGTGGTATGAGCATATTGGCATGCTTGACAATTCCTTCCTGCAGCCTGAGAGTGTGGAATGTGTCCATAAGGTGAACCGGATGGCTGACAAGTACTGGGAGCTGTACTCAAGTGACATACTGGAACAAGATTTGCCTGGCCATCTGCTCAGGTACCCCATTGCAGTCACCGAAAACGGAGAGATCACCGAGCTTCCAGGGACTGAGCACTTCCCTGACACAAAGGCCCGTGTCCTTGGCACCAAATCTGACTACCTTCCCCCAATCCTCACTACATAACAAGATAAGCTACAGTTCTCTACTTAGGGTGATACACTCTTCTGTTCTTATTACATCTTTACCAGCAGCAGTTTGTACTTGTAGAGTTAATAAATTATATGTTTTTGTAATTTGCAGAATAAGAGTTTGTAGTATTGTCAACAGAAGCAACCCCCAATCCTCAGGTCAACGGATGTTTGCTTGTTTTTAGTGATTGTGTTACTGACAGCTTGTTGTTTGCTAGCTTCATAAATCATAAGCAGTTGATTTAGCTGGTTTTAAATAAGTGGTATTGGCTTTCTTTAACTTTCAAGTGTAATAATAGGACTAAGGGTTTGCTTGTTGGGTAATGTACAGGAATTGGAATCAGTTGAAATGGGATTTCATTCCCTTAGGAGGGGGAGGGAATGGCCATTCCTTCAAATGGGAATGCTATTCCACGAGGAATGAAAGTAGGATTTTAATTCTGTCCAACCAAATAGTTGGAATCGTATTCCAATTCCAGACCCCTATTATCGTGAACCAAACGGGCCCTGAAATCCATAGAAGTTCGTGACTATCACCTTACATGTCTAAGACTAACCCACTGTGCTGGACCCATGATTACTAGTCCGGCATGGTTCACAAGTATGGTTACTCACGATTACCACCCACAAAAAATTGTGTATTGTGAGAGTAGATTTTAACAATTGATACCTTTTTTTTTTTAATTCTTGGATTTATTTCAGTTTGATATTCTTTCGGTTTGATATTTCACAGATGCGTACGTTAGGATGGTATCAACGTTTGAAATTGTTAAAATCTTAAAATATCCTCAGTATTAACGTTTTGGTGACCTGAAAACAATATGTAATATGTATTGGATATGTATCAATACTTTGAAGTATATAGCCCGGTCAATTTGTCTTAACTGAGGCTAAGGGGTGGTTTGCTGAAGTCGCTGAACTAAAAGACTAATGCTATTTTTAAGTGAATAATGGAGGCTGTGACTTCAACGTTGAATGTTGGGTTGATTATGATATTCCTAAAATATTATTGCAATTTTATCTATTAAAATTCAAAAATAAATCATTCAGTTCAGCCACATCAACCATTTTAAATTGCTTTTGAGCTAGACTGGACAGTCGGTTCTTTTTCCTTCTTTTAATCTTTGATGGGTTCGATTGGGACAGTTTAGGTATTGATCATTTCATGGCCTGGACTTGTCCTGGCCTAAGCATATGGCCAAAGCTCAGCTGAAGACTAGAAGTCAAGTGTACCAGTGCAAATTTCCATTGATATCCAGAGTATGTGACCAAGGGGGATATTTGGACCATGTTTGGTTCAATAGAAAATGAGACAGAGAAACTTGAGAGTCCTTAACAGAATTTGTGAATTTTCTTAACAATTTTTCCTTTAACTTTCTGTTTCTTTCTTATCTTCTTTCAAACTAAATACAACCTAAGACAGAGAGAGAAACTTGAGAGAGTCCTTGATATTATTTGTAAAATTTCTTGTCGACTTTTCCTTAAACTTTTTGTTTCTCTCTTATTTTTTTTCAAACTAAACACATCCTAAGGCAGAGAAAGAAACTTGAGAGAGTCCTTAACAGAATTTGCGAAATTTATTGCCAATTTTTCCTTCAAATTTCCATTTCTCTCTTATTTTCTTTCAAACTAAATATAGCCTTAGGCAGAGAGACAAACTTGAAAGTCTTAACAGAATTTGCAAAATTTCTTATTTAACTTTTCCTTCAACTTTCTATTATCTTTTATTTTCTTTCAAACTAAACACAGCTTAAGACGGAGATAGAAGCCTAAAAGGTCTATAACATCAGTGACATTTCATCTAAATACAAGCGGGGACTTGTGCGATACACAAGCTTTATTAAGCGAAAGTTAAATAATAGAAACACATAAGAGTATACAATTATTTTATATTTTACTTTTTAAATAATTGATGAGATTTTCGTAAGAATCAATTATTATTATTTAATAATCAAGTAATAGTAGTAATAATAATAATAACAATAACAGTAATATTATTATTCTTGAAAATTATATTCCAACCGTGTATAACACAGTAAATCTTCCAACAGTGCATCACATGGTATTTACAAAACTGGGTCGGGAAACAGGTCAACACTGACCCGTTGTTTGATTATCGAAAATGGGTTGACTTCAGCCGTTTATCTCCATCTTCTTCGCCCGTTTGATGCAAAACAGGTTTTTTTAACAGCATTAGATTTTGTCATTTTTTGGGTTTTTTTAACTGTTTTCTTACTAATCACATATATAGTGTTCCGAGAATACATTCAATCGAAAACATGTAGAAAAAATATGTACTTTTTACCCGGATTCAAGCGCAAAACATATTGATCACGCCTGGTCTACATCCGCCCCTGTTTCTTGTCAAAAACAGCGTCTTCCCACCCCTGTTTTTAGTGAAAAAAAAAATAATAGACCTTAAACTAGATTTAGAATAGAGAAAGAAGAAAGGAGATGGTGAAGTGATTTACTGATTTGGTGTCCTTTTGCCCGTTTTTTATTTTCTCTCAAAAAAAAGTTATTTCCACCACTGTAGAAGCTATGACGTGAAGAGAAACAAAACGGAAAAAATGAGAGATCTAGGTGGATTGATTGTGAGAACAAAATGGGGAAAATCTAACTTGAAAAGTAGAAGAAGAACAAAGGTTTAGAATCTTTAGATGGCTTGGTGGTGTTTCAGTTGGACACGATCTAGGAGAGGTTTGGAATGTGATAAACACTACTAGAATTGTGACGAAACATGGCTCTTGGAAAGCCATCCAACAAGGTAAAAAATGTATCAAGTGTAGGAATTTGATTTGTTAAATGCAAAAAACGTAGATTACAAAAATCAAAAAAATGAGAAAATTTCTAGACTTCATTCTTTTAATATATATACTAGGAACATTCTCGGGGCCTCTAATATCTTTTCACTATTGACAAGTGGGACATCATCCTTCCGACCTTGAAAGTTACTTAGCTACCCTCGGCTCCAAATTTGGTAGCATAATAAATAATATATTATATTATTTATATAATATGATAATATAATAATGTATTAAATATAAAATATATAATATAATTATATAAATAATATATAGAATATACATATACAATATGTAAATAATATTTCATAATTAACGGAATGGATTGAGTCACAGCAGATCAGATCAGTCAATATCTAAATCCGCTTCTTAAAGAATCAATATCAGATTCGAATCAAACCTGATCTGACTATATATATATATATATATATATATGTATGTATGTATGTATGTATGTATGTATTCAAGTGAGAGAAACAAAATCAAGGAAAAGAGAACAGTGAAGAGACGGACGAGAAGGGAGATGTCACCTAATCGCATGCTGATTGGTTCCAAGGAAGAGAAAAGGTTGAAGAAGCTAAAGGCTAACTTGGCTTTCGATCATATGTGTAGTATAATCATGTTGCAGTCTATGTTTTATCTTTGATTTTTCTCTTCGAGTTAATAGTAACTAGTTGGAACCTGTGTGATGCATGGGATTTTTTAACCGAATTGCAAATTAGAGTTAATGCGCTTTTAAAGAGCCCTAGATACTTATAAACACCTTACCACAAAATTTCATCACAGATATCCCCCATTTAACCCTTCATCACACTAAGATTTTAATTTGGGTTATCTCATTGGCAAAGATATTCATTTCTTAAATGCCCTTGACTATACCATTTATGGACCAATCAAACCCCACCAAATGATCCAAGAGACCAATACCTCTAAAAACCTTGTTGTCAGCGCCTGATTTTTACTCAATTCATCGTCGAAACCCCAATTTACCCCAAACACCTGATCAGATTATTCCAAGCCTTCTAAAGTACCTAAAAATTCCCAAACACCACCATAAGACCTAGGACCTCCTAAAATATCTACCCTTGAAATTTCAACCAAAAATTGCCCTCCATTTATTCTTTTATCAAACCAATATTCTCTTTTGAACCCTCTTGTTAGCCTGAAGCACTCACAACCCAAATCTCCTTGATCCTAACACCTTTGAATCAATTAGACTCTACAATTGAATCCTATACACACCAAAAACATCTATCCATAAATTTTCAACCTAAAATTCCCTAATTTGCCCCTATCATCGAACAAATATTCCATTTCGGATGCTCTCGTTGATCAAAATTTCTATGATTTTGGCTCTCCAAAATCAATCAGATGTTTCCATAAGATCCTAAACACCCTAAAATCCCAACCCACAAAAGTTCAGCCCTAAATACCTTTGTTTGCCACTCCATTACACCATGATTCTGTTTTAAAGCTTTTGCATTAACTGATTAAGTCCTTACTAAATCTGCCTAATCTCAAAATAATTAGGCCAATCCGACCCTACCAATCAACCCATAATGCTCAAGCGCACCACCCTACTAAATTTCAACAAAAAATTTCCTTATTTTCTCCTCTATCACACTAAGATTCTGTTTCAAAGTTAATAAATTAACCGAATCACTACCCCTCCAGATCTGCCTAATCCAAGCCTATTTAGGACAATATGACCCCACCAATCGATTCAAAATGCATAAAACCCCACCCTATAAAATTTCAGTAAAAAATACCCCCGAGYTTACCAAAATACCTAAATTAAATAAATAAATAAATACCATAATTAACTATGGTATTTTTTATTGATGTTTTTGTTATTAATTATGGTATTTATTTAATTAATAAATAGTATTTATGAAAGTACTATTAATTAATATTATTTTGATATAATTAATTATTAATTCATTAATTAACAATATTTTTATTAATTATGGTATTTTTTCAATTATTTAACAATATTAGATTTATTTTTGTAGCAGTATTTTTTATTAATTATGATACTTAATTAAATAAATACTGTAATTAGTCAATAAATACTATTAAATAATGTATTGCTAATGTTGTTAATTAATTAAATAATTCACTACAAGAAAGGGAGAAGGGAATGATGAGGTGGCTTCATGAGGAAGCAAGAAAGTTTAAAATAAAGAGTGTCTGAGAGTTCTCGGTTGGAGTAAGTGAGAAAGCTCAGGCCATGACGTGGCATGTTTTTACTTTAGTGTATATTTATAACAAAAATACAATAAATAATTACAAAAAATAAAATAAATATAAATTTTAGTATATATAAATATATAATAAATATAAATTAAGATTTAAAAATTATTATTAATAAATATTAATTTTTTGAAAGTTATTTTCTAGAATTATTAATTGATATAAGTTAAATAATGTTTTTATTATTAGTACATTAATAATTGCAATTATAATTCTATTTTTT